AAGGCAGCGTCAAACAAGCCGGGCAAGGAACGGAGGAGGAAAGAGGCAGTGTCGGCAAGGGAGCGGGGCCAAACAGGGAGGGGGGGGTGTCCGGAAGGGCTGCTGCGACGCCAGGCAAAGCCAGCCGCAAAGCCAGCTGCCCAGTTTATCCAGTCCCAATAATAGTCCAGCTCGCTCACCCCCTCTCCATTTCTAGGTAAACAGTGCGTTGTCTGGGTACAAATAATGTTGGGAAATAATAATCATAATATTTACAATAATATCCATTACATTGGTATTAGTCATATAACAACAACAACAAGCAACTCTCACCCAATTACTTGTCTGCCAACAATGTTCAAACTTTTTACAAGAATACTGGCAAATTCAGTATCCAACCATTTGACGTATAACAGTTTGTAATTAATTAAATTTAAGGAGGACCAGAACTCTGAAATAAAAACTGTATACCGTAACTAATTGTAATTTTGGAACGGGACATTATGGAAAGGTAGGAATTTGAAGAACTATGTAAAATTATAAAAAAATATACATAAATCATTAAAATCAAGTCTAAATAGAATTTTGAAGTTAGATATTGAGGAAAAACAGGAAGTGAAGGAAGAAGTGAAGGAAGAAGAGGAGGGATAATGAAGGGTAGAAACGGTGGAAAATAAAAGCAGACAAAAAACCTAATTGGGTTTGACAGTTGTATAAGGAAAATTGAAAAGGGGGGATGTGTCCCAACAAAAGGAAATAAAAAGTAGACAAAAGACCTCATTGAGTTTGTGGCATAGGGAAAACTGAAGAGGGGGATTATGCCTCAACAAAGGGAAATACAAAAGATTTCACTGGGTTTGACAGTGGCTTGGGGAAAATTGAAGAGAAAACAAAGAAAAGGGAGAAGACAGGAATAGAGAAGTGGGACAAAAGACTTACTAAGAAAAAAATCAGACAATAAGAAATTATTATATGGGGAAATATAAAGCTGAGATATGTGGTTTACTCCTATACATCATAATAAAACTGAGTTGCTAACTGATTGAATATGATAATGGAAAGATAATTAAATAAAGGTTACAATATATGGAATATGGACACATATAGAACTCCTAAGATGATGAACAAAGTGAGATGTGTCCTGCTTGTTATTCTATATAGTAGATTAAGGGAATTGTAATGAACATTGAACAAAAAGGACTGCTATTTAAAGACAATTAAGGGTAACCTAAACCAAGATACGGAAAAATGGAGAGGGAACATGAAATATACTTATAATGGAAAATTATTGAGATTATAAAGACAGAAATGCAAATTTGGGGCGGGTAAGGATGTATAACTATATAAATATAATGATGAGAATACCTGGTAATCATAACAAGGTCTACATCTCGGCCAAAAATAGGCTGGGGGTGTGTGTTTAAAAATACAATTGCTATACATGTATCCTTTTTTCTTTTAAAAAAGGAGGAAGATATATGCTAAAATTAAATATGTATATTGAAACGGAATACCATCAACATAAAATGGAACTCGTTCAGAGGCTGAAATATACCAAATAAATGAGATGAAGAGTACGAAGTAGAGGAGAGAAGGGAAGAAGAGAGGGACAGGAGAGAGGGCGGGGAATCGGGAAGAGGAGGAGAGAAAGAAGGATTGGAAAGGGGAGAGAGGAGGAGAGAGGAAGGGGAAGTAGAGAAGAGAAGGACGACAGAGGGAAGAGGAGGAGGAGGAGGAGGAGGAGGAGGGGGAGGAGAGAGGGAGAAGAAAGTGATGGATAGGATACAAATACAGTGTATGGAGAGTAGAAGAGCCAATAATCATTTTTGGGAGTTGATGGTAAGACAAATTGATGTAAACATTTAACAATATAATATGATGTTGGTTATGTAATAGCATACATGTGGTTATTTGTTATGAAAATGAAAAAATAAAAAACTTTATTTAAAAAAACCAGTTTGTAGCCAATAGAACAAAAAGGAAATTATAAAAAAATCAAGAGGAACAAAAGATCAGCTGCTCATTTACAAAATGGTACTAAAAATGCAAAACAAAGAAAAACAAATTTAAATATGGCATGGATTGATTACAAGAAGGCATTTGTCTCAAATACCCCACATCTGGATTAACACATGTCTGGAAAATGTTGGAATCAGCAAAATTATTTGTTCATTTTCGAAAGCAATTATGCAAAAATGGAAAGCAGTTCTAACAGCAAATGGGGAGAACATTAGTGAAGTCAATATCAGACGAGGAATCTTCCAGGGGGACTCACTTTCACCACTACTGTTCAACATTACATTAATTCCACTGACAATAACCCTACAAAACACAAAACTGTAATACCAAATCTCAAACCAACATGGCAAGATGGATGACTTAAAAATGTATGCAAAAAGCCCCACTGAACTTAAATCAATACTCAACATAGTTCAACTATTCAGCAGCGACATCAAAATGAACTTTGGACTTGAAAAATGTGCTATATTATCCATGCGGCAAGGAAAAATGGAAAAAACAGAAGGAATAGAACTGGGAAATGGAAACATTGTGAAAACTTCTGGGACCATGTCCTGCGCCTGTGAAGAGACAGGCAGACCTCTGAGGGACATCCCCGTCCCCTCTATCTGGGGACATGGAGACCAAGTGACCTAGGCAGGTGGACTCTTGTCCTCCTTCCTCCACCGATGGCCACAAAAGTGCCCCCTAGTTCATCCCTCATTCCGTTCTCCCACGTTAAGGACACAGTTCCCTTCTTCCCATTAAATGTCCTTTGTGCCTTTTCTACCATTTTGTTCTCGCTTATAAAGTTAAGACCAAGTAGCCTCCAGTTCAGCTGTCATGTTGATCTTTCAAAGGAGAACCTTTATTCTCTTTTTTTCCCAACCTGTCCCCATGAGAAACCCCTCTCTGACATTTCACACCACTTTGCCCAGACTTTGTGACTTAAAACTTTCATTGGTGATCCAAGGACCCTGGAGAGAAATTCTTCACCAGATTTATTTTGAGGAAGGTTGACCCTCAGGGGCTAGGTTGGTAAATATCCCAATATTTTGGAGAAGACGACTTCCTTCCGATCTCTTTCCCACAACATCAAGAATGACAAAAAACACACTGGTTCACTCATGCCGTAAAAATGTCCCAAAACAGAGACCAGATCTTTCCTTTCAACATGGAGTACATTCATCTAGACAGATTCTCTGTGGAGATTTGTCAATGCATTCGATCTTTTACAGATCCCGCTAGAAAATGAGTGGGGACATTCCTTTTCTTGCGATGTCCCCAAACAGTGAAGGGAATTAAAAGAGAGTGAGTGACATTTTGGCATCCAAATCCTTGAACGGTTTTAGCAGGGGTAATTTTGACCAAAAAAGTTTCCCACAAGTCTTTGGCTCTGCTTCTGCCACCAACACATACCAGTATTGTAGGGTTCATGGGGCCCCACACGAGATGCAGATATGGTAGATGTCATCATTGAGGCCATCTTTGAAGCAGTCAATGAGGATGTCTTTGGACCATGCTGCCAACTGGCATGCCAACTCTCAAAATTCTTGGATGTACGTGGCCAATGACCATTGCCCTTGGGTGATGGTCTTTATCTGGATCTTAGCCTTGCACTCAGCCAGTGGATCCTAGAACCATTGGCAAAGGGCTGCCATAAAGTGATTATAGTTCAACAGTTGGGGGGGGGATTGTCATTGTGGAGGGAGGCCATCCACTTTGCCTCTCCCCATCCAGGGCTATGGTTACTTGTATTATCTGGGCTTCTGTCATCTCCAGTTCAGCCCCATACTCCTGCATGTAATTCCAGACTTGCACCTGGAAGAACCCCAATTGCTTCCCCATATGTAACACCCAAGGCTGGGACCTTAGGGTCCAGGGCCTTCGAGGAATGGTCTCTGCAGGTGGAGTGGCTTGCACAGCTTGGTCTGCGGCAACCCAGAAATCTTGAGAAGCCACCTGTGCAAGAGGCTCTTGGGCTCCTCGACTTCCCCTGTTGTATCAGGAACAGGGCCTGGTTTAGTATGGCTTTCTCTGGGCTTTTCTCCAGGGGTGGGGTCTTCCCATTGCCCCAAGCCCCTCACCCACCTGAGCATGATAGGTTTCTCACTGATGTCCAGCTCCTCTTACCATTCTGTCTTACTTCGAGTGGTGTGGTTTAGTGGGGGAGCCAGGCATAGCTCCAATTTCCTCCAGCTCACCCCTGTGGTTGGACAATGGATGCTTGATCCCCATGGTAGACTGCTGTCTCCTGGCTGACTATTAATATATTGCTTGCTTAATGTCAGGGCTGCCACTCTTCATTTCCTAGGAAAGAAAAATTCTTGGCTCTCCATAGATTTAGAGAAAAGTACTTTTACTAGGAACAAACTGAAAGCTAGCAGTTTCAAGCAAGCCAAGAGGGAAAACGTGAGCATATAAACTTCAAGCACAGTATACAGCTCAACCCCCTTGTAACTAGGCAACCACATACCAGAGCCAACGGACTTGGCCTTGGAGATAACAGCAGCAAAGCTGCAATGTAATCTGCCCATTTCCTCCCCTCCTATTCTAAGGCAGCAAGAAACAGGCTGGCTGACATATACCTTCTTTTCCCACCTTCTTTTTGATTTGTTATGTTTTCTCAGTATGAAGCATTTCCAACTGTTATGCTGAGATCTGTAACTAGATGTGGACTTCTGTGCCAAAGCGAAATTCCACCAGTTCTTTGCAAACAGCTTTCTAATAAATCTTACTTCTGGTTGACCCAAGTATTGTGTGAATTTGTTACTCACAATTTGGTGCCTAATATGGGGCTTCCAGAATGGCATCTGGGAAGCCTGGAGGCATTCTGGAAGGAAGGCATTCCCTGCTGATTTCAGTAGTTCAACCAAGGGAGGCGATGACAGATCTGGTGCCTGTGAAGGAATGCATACATCAAATAGAGACCATCAAAGAAGTAAGAAACTCAAAAGGAAACTGGATCCCATGGAATAAACCACCAGGTAACTTCAGGCATGGATCTAGGTAAAGTAAATTGCCTGGGAAGTTGGGGGAGTTGGTTGTGTACAATTGTGAATCCTGAGACCTGTGAGTTTGTGTGTGAGATGCCCTGAGGCTCATAAGGAGTGGCAAGATGATGTGATTGTGGAGTTCAAGCTTGCATTTCCCGAAGTTCATGAGAGCCCTGGCCAGGTATGAATGAAGTGCTTGGATATCTGAACAAATATCTCTATAAATCTTGATCTTTAAAAATAGACCAGCACCTGCTAGGAGATCTAAGACAGACAGAGAAGAGACAGAATACCTCCAGGACAGTGATAGGTAGTATCGATTCAGTACCTATGGAAATAGACAAATAACAATGGGTGGAATTTCAAATAAAAGTGCACTAAAATAATTAGGAAGAATCTCAACTTGCATAGAGATGGGACCAGTGCTTTAGGGAAAATACTTAAAGGTTGGGAAGCCCTGCCATGCAGTAAAATGATTCAGAATTGGGGCCGACCAAAGAAGAAAAGGTTATTGTTCTTTGTATCTGGGGTTTAGCAGGTAATAAAAAAGTAAAGCCTGTCTAAATGGGAAGACTTAGATAATTTGACTTGATCAATTTGATTTGATTTCTGTTCAAAATTCTTAGATGTGCCTCTATAGCATGAAGAATTGAATACGATTGAATTAATTGTGATATGTTTGACCAGCCAGAAAATTAAGTACCATATTTTTGGGAGTATTAAACTCACCGTAGTATAAGACGCACCAACATTTTGAGGGGGCAATTTTTTTTAACATTTTTAACATTCTGCAGACCTCCTAAAAATGGCCCATTTTTTGCAAAAATGGGTCCGTTTTTATTTTCAAAAAAGGGCATGCATAGCCTTTAGGAGGCTTATAGAGTGCTCCTGGGGGCTGGGGGCCCCAAATTGAGTAAAAATAGCCCATTTCTGCTCGTTCCTGCCCTCCCCAGCCCCCAGGAGCATTCTGGAAGCCTCCTATAGGCTATGCATGGTCATTTTGGTGAAGAGATAGAGAGAGATTTGAGATTTATTAGATTTATATGCCGCCCTTCTCCCAAGGACTCAGGGCGGCGTACAACAATTTAAAAATACACATGATATAAAAGTTTTAAAAAATGAAATGGAATATCCCAAACCCAATTAAAATTGACAATACATTTTTTTTTAAAAAAAATCGAATTAAAATTAACAGTGATCAATA